AAAGTTCTGGGCAGAAAGTATAAATTTTGGCCTTCGCGAATTTTGAGCTATTTCAACATTTTTATCTCGGCTTTGGAGTTTTTTGGACGATTTGAGAGAGGGATTTCAAGGGAACTTCATTGAGGTAATGAATTTGGACTTGAAACTCGTTCCTATGCTATTATTTCACGGATTAGAGCTAGAAATTATGGAAATTTAGGGTGAAAATTAGGGAAACTAGGGCTTGAAAACTTAGGCCTTTAATTGAGGATTTGGTGGATCATTTGAGGTCGGATTTCAGGACTTTTGATATGTATGAACTCATGGGGAGATAAGGAACTTATTATGTAAAAATTATTGAATTCCGAGACGTGGACCCGAGGGTCTGGTTTTGGTAATTTCGGGATTTGTGTCATATATTGATTGTTTTCGCTTGGGCTTTGTTCCCTTAGCATATTTTGACGTCCTCGTTCTGATTTGGATAGATTCGACGCGAGTAGAGGCCGATTCGAGGGGCAAAAGCATCGCGAGCTAGAGATTTGACCGGTTCGATGTGAGTAATGACTGTAAATGATGTTCTGAGGGTTTGAAACCCCGGATTTGCACACCGTAGTGCTATATTGAGGTGAGGCACACGCTTGATGACGAGCGTGGGGTCATGCACTATTGAGGATTGTGACTTGGTCCGTCCCGACTGATGATTTTTTCACGTATTTGATGGAAATCTATTTATTATCATCATTATTGGGGCTGAATGCCATATTTGGGCCTTGTGTCAACTATTTGAACCCTTCGAAGATTTTTACTGGTATTTCTTTACTATTTTGACTTTATACTTGAACTCAGTCATGTTATATTTCACTGTTTCTCGTACTCAGCCATGAATACTCTATTTTAACACTTACATGATCTTTTAAATGATATTTTTGGGCTGAGAAACATGTTTTACTACTGCCCGAGTGGCTTGTGAGGATTTTTGACTGAGTAAGGCCAAGGGCCTATGTTGTGAGGAAACATTTGATACTGATTATGAGGACGAGGGCATGAGATATGTACGCCACGAGGTGGATTGATTGATATGAGGCCGAGGGCCTAGTGATGACGCCACGAGGTGGCTTGATATTATTCTTGGGCCGTAAGGGGCCCCTCCAGGAGTCTGTACACCCCAAGTGAGCGTGGGTACCCATTGTGATGTGAGATTGAGCCCGAGGGGCTGGTACTATTTTGAGATGTTGTCCGAGGGGCGGATTTGTTGATACTGTGCCCGAGGGGCGAACCTTTATATGTTTACTTTTCATAATTGACTGTCAATTACCTGCTTAATTGTTGAAAAAGGCTTTTCATGAAACTACATTTGAGTTAAAGGATTTTACCTATCTTTCACTGATTTATTGATTTTAAATGGTTTTACTGCTTCATTATAGAATGCTTTGTGCCTTACATGATTTCTTGCTTTCAGTCTTTATTTACATTTGTTACTCACTGAGTTGGAGTACTCACTTTAATACATGCACCCCTGTGTGCAGATTCAAGCATTGTTGATCCTGTCAGTGCGAGTTGAGGGCTCCTGACGGGCATTCGGAGTTCACGAGGTAGCTGCTTGACGTCCGCAGACCCGTGTTTCTCCCTCTTTGTCATTTCTATCTCTATATCAGACAGTTTGTAATAGTTTATAGACTTCTCAGACTTGTATTAGAACTTGTAGATGCTCATGACTAGTGACACCCCCGGTTTAGGGCTGTGTTGGATTATTCTTCCGCGTATCTATGATATTACCTGCTACTTTGGATTATTTTATCATGTTTCGACTGTTTCTTAACGCTTAACTGTTAAAAATTGGAAAATGGAAAGTGTCGGCTGGCCTTGTCTTCACGAGAGGCGCCATCACGACCGGATTCGGGTTTGGGTTCGTGACATATACACTATTATATCCAAGGTTGATACATTATTTACAGGTATTTGGTGAATTTCTCGCATTTTCTTCTTCTTCTTCTTCTTCTTCTTCTTCTTCTTCTTCTTCTTCTTCTTCTTCTTCTTCTTCTTCTTATACACCTATATACATAGTTTATCAAGAATATTTTCACTCTGTGATTATACATCTTTATACACTTTTATACAACTATATACATGTTGTACCTATTTGTATAAAAGTGTATAACATTGTATAAAAGTGTATAAGCATCGCTGACGAAATTTTTGTACGATTTTCACTTGCAATTCTTGTATAAAACTAGTCCAAATCTCCAGCAAATAACTTCAAACTTTGTATACAACCTACTTAGAATATTTCTAATAAGTTCAAACAATACCTACTCCAAATTTCTCACAAAATCATAATCGATATTTAACAAGATTAGCATTAAAGGAGATGAGATTTTAGGTTCCTCGCATTTGTTTTTGCGCTTTGCAGTTGTGATAGGTATGTGTAAACCTGAAGATATACAAAATTTAAAAAAAAACAGAGAAGTATTGGTTATGGAAGAAGGCACGAACGAGTGTTGACTGAATGGGGAACTAATTTTTTTTTTTCCAGTTTTGTTTGCATATGATTCTTTTTCATTAATTAAATTAAATATTTATGGGTGAAGAATGAGGAGAGAGCTACAATAAGGGTAAGTAGGAATAAATGAGGTTGTTATAATTAGAGTGAATGAGAAAAAAAAAGATCTTATTGATATTTGGCTACACATTTGCAAACTTATAACTGTACTAAAATAGTGCAAGGTTAACTTATGAAGTGCATTATTCTGTAATTTTGTCTATCAAAAACTGTCCTGGCTTGGGGGTGTTGATGAAAGCTGACTGTTCTAGTTCACTAGCAGCTTTCTGCGATGCTGATTGGGCAGCTTCCCTCAATAATAGGAGATCAATAACAGATTATCTAGTAAAGTTTGGTGATTCCCTTATTTCATGGAAGTCCAAGAAAAAATCAACAGTTTCCAGAAGTTCTACTGAAGCAGAATATAGGAGTCTTGCTTCAACAGTGGCTGAAATTGTTTGGCTCATTGGTTTGTTTAAGGAGTTTGGTGTTGCTCAACAAAATCTAGTTCCTTTCTACTGTGATAGTAAATCAGCAATCCAAATTGCAGCTAATCCTGTCTTTCATGAACGGACCAAACATATAGACATCGATTGTCATTTTGTGCGTGAGAAGATCTAGTCAGGGTTGATCCACACTGTTTATGTCAATACTGCTGATCAACAAGCTGACATTCTCACCAAAGGCCTGAGCAGAATGCAACATAGCTATTTGTCATCCAAGCTAGGGATGAAGAACATCTTCACCTCCTCTAGCTTGAGGGGGGGTGTTGAGAGTATGAATGCATTGGGTAGTAAAGTAACTTAAGACAACTAGAGTTTAGTCTAATCATAGTTTAACTAACTATAGTTAGCAATTAGTTAGTCCATTTGTATTAGTATATAACTAGTAGGCGGTTATTTTGATAATGAAGATGAGCTTTCTTCTTCCCCAATTTCTTCTCTCATTTCTTAGCTCAACATTCATCTTCAATTCACAAATTTAACAATGCTGACTATGAGAAATAGTAATTTATTATTAGTTCTACTTTTTATATAATTTCTTAACTTCATAAAATGTTCTTTCAAACGAAAAATTTACTGATCTTTCGGACGCTTGGAATTTATTTTATTTTTTTCCTTTTTTTTTTCTTTCAAAAGAGAAGCTTATAAATCTTGCAGACATCTATTTTCTTTTACATGCCTTCCGATGCAAGTGTTAATCCTTAATTTCACATGCTATTTGCAAAATATTTACCTACATTTAATGTTACTGTATGAAAACATTAGAGCGAGTTCAAGTTCCAAATTTGCCTTTTGAAACATTATAAGTTTTGATTTAGGAATTTATACCTCTTGTAAATTGATTAAGACATTTGGTTAAAATTAAATAAAATTAGTCTTGCCATGAAAGTAATGCATGTATTAGCTTTTGATATAGCTAATTCTTATTTGGTACACGTTTTTAACTTATATGTTACTAATACAAGTATTGGTGATACAATCTATTTGGTAATATCCTATGTATAACTAATAATATATAGCAAACCATGGTATTAGCAATATTAAGGCTATTAATATACGCATTAGTATGGTTAAAGACAACATTATCCTTAAAGACCTTTAAAGCTAAAGAATATGGAGGATATTTTTGTAAACATGCAACTAATTTTCTTAAAAATTATGCAATGCATTTTAATTTTTTATACACCACACCAAACAGTGGATAAAAAATAATCTAAGCATAACTAATGCTTACATTACTAACCCATGCATTACTAATCCTTACATACTAATACGCATTATTCAGCAATATTCTTATACACTCTACCAAATGACCCCTTATTGTATAAACTAAATCAATAAATGCAAATCATGTGCATTTTGTATATATTTATTTATTACTTAATTATAATTAAGTGATAAATATTAACACTTTAATTTCTAATAACTGGGGCTGACTTAATGTAAACATGGAGTACGAATAAATATAATATGAATTTTCATACTTTCGTTGGATATATATATATATATATATATATATATATATATATATATATATATAGGTAATTATGAGAGCGAACTTTTTTTCATTTTATCTTTTGTTTTTCCCTCTCTTCCTTTTTCATTTTCGGTGGAGAAAATGTAATTATATATCGTCATGGTAAAACTCCCTCATATATTTTCCCATCAAGTTTGACCGGATCTCTCTTTTCATACAGTTTTAGAAAAAAAAAATTAAATTGCAGAATTACTATGGTAAATACTTGTAATACTTTTCTACCTCTTAATGAATTAAATTCCGCAAATTAAAGTGTATCTAAAACTGTTCGAAAAGAGAGATATTGTTACCTCTTAAAAAATATACGTTTTACCATTACCAGGATTACAATTTATAGTTACCTAACACAGAATATCCCATACATTAATTAGGTTACCTGAATTATTCCTACAAAAAGTATGAAGTTATTAGGAGATGAAACAACAAAAAAACACATCTTTCAATGGCAGCACTCATCAACGTCCTTGCCTTAGTTCTCTGTCTTGCCCTCTTTTATGAAGGTATTAACCTCAACCCCTTGTCTTATTCTTCTTTCCTCTATTCACACGATGGGGATTCAAAATATAAAGAAAACATACGAAGAAGCCAAAGAAATTTAATATATATATATAGAGAGAGAAAAGTGTGTAATTTTAACCTTATATATAAAAGCGGATTCATGATTTCAAGAGGATAGGTACACTACTACGAAGAAGTGGATCTAGAATTTACATTTGACAGGTTTAACTAATTTAGTTTCTTATCATGAAATCACTACACTTTTAAAATTATAGGTTCAAAATTATATACTTTTTGAAATTTTAGTGACTTATACCGTGCCAAAAATAAAACTGTTCGGAGTGGGATTTGAACTGCCAATTTTATTTGTAGAGGTACACCCAATAATTATTGCATCACAGAAGTTTTTGGGCATGTGTGCACACAAAGAAATATAATATTTTTATACATGATTTAGGAAGAGGAGTATGAGTTCACGTGAATCCATATCCCTTAACCTAAATACGCCTGGATATATAGTGTAATTATGTGGCGAACGGGGTTCATGCCTCCCTAGTTACGCCCATGAGTCATGATCTCTCTATTTTAACATATGATTTAGCATTTCTCACTTTAATTCCATAATTTCTAATTGGGTATGTAATTAGCACTTCTAGCTTCAATTACGTAATTTCCAATGTAAAAGAACCAAAAGGAAGGAAAAAGAACCCAAATATATCAAGATTTACAAGAAATGGAATACTATACTCTCTTTTTTCTTCCTTTTCAGGTATTGAGAGTTTTGGATGCAATCCTGGCATTGTTATCAGCCAAGAAAAACTGAACAAAACCATCAACGGACAACAAATATGGAATGCAACTGTGGAAAATACATGTGACTGTGTTCAACTTGATGTAAAACTAAGCATTCCCAATTTCGATTCTGCCGTTAAAGTTAACACTACCGTTATCTCCAAATCCCATGTCGATATCTACGACGTTAATGGAGGCCTTCCAATTTATCCACACAGTGCTGTTTTCTTCACTTATGCTGGCCAAAATCTCAACGTTACGATAAGTGATCATACTGATGCTTGTTCATGAGCAGATGGAAAAGGAATTAATTTAGAAATAATTTTTTCTTGATTTCTATGCGTTTATATCGTAAAAGAAAATTTATATCTGGTTGAATGATATGAAAATTCTTTGTTTTGTTTGTCTTTTTATGTTTAAAATAGAGTAGAAGTGTTGAGTTCGTTTCAAAGTTGTTACGATAATATCGAGTATTAATTTATATACACCGACATTATTTACATAATTATGTTTAATTTCTTTTAAAAAGAATCAACTACTTAACTAAATATCCATTATGATTCATGACAGTGATCAACGATTTAAAGAAGAAGATATAGGTTATAACTTGCTGTATCACTCTGATCAAACTACGCAATTTTTGTGTTTGCACTTAGTAGAGGTTCGAATTTCAATCATTTAGAACTCAAAAAATCCAAATCATTTATACAAATTAAGGACCCGTTTGTCCATCGATATTTTTTCCTTTTTTTGGGTTTTTTTTTTCAAAAACGTGTTTGTCCATGAAATTTTGCAAGTTTTTAAAAAACAAAATCGTAAATGAGTTTTTCAAGTTCGAAATTTTCAGAAATTTGTCTCCCCGCTCACAAAACTATAACATATTTTCAAGTGAAATGCATGTCCAAATATAATTTCAAATTCCAAATATCATTTTTTTAACTTAACTTCAAATACTTTTTTCTTTAAAAAATTGTAATTTTTATGTCTAAACGCCTGCTAAATCTGCATCATTAAAGGAAAAATCTGAACCTTTCAGATCTTATATAGAGGTCTTAAAATCATGAAGACGGTCATTAAAAGATTCATGTGAATGTACCCTTTAACCAATACTCTATTTATTACTACCATACAATTAGCAGATTTAAAGTTTTTTTTTTTTTTTTTTTAAAAAAAAAAGATTCACCACCACACAACTGACAAATACACAAGAGGGGGTGAAATGAGCGCTTCGTGTATTTTTAAAAACTTTTCGGAAATAAGTTGACAATTAAGATTTTTTGGGTACTAAAACTTACTGCATTGTTTTTAAAAACCTACAGTTCTTTCTGGAAAATCCTTTGTCGCTGAATAACTGGATTGTAAAGATGAGTTATTTTGCAAAGGGTGTAACCAATGATCAACTAGTTCTCTATGTCCCAATTTATATGATGCATTTTCCTTTTTTACTCTGTTATAAAATGAATGATATTTTTTTATATTTAGAAATAATTTAACTCTAAATTTTTTTATTTGATCTTAATAAGATGATTTATAGCCAAATATTTATAACTTATTCTACACCACAAATATTAAACACCTTTCTTTTTTTCATAAACTTCGTGCCCATTCAAACAAATCAATAAATTAAAATCAGAACTTGGTTGAATGGAAAGAAATGAAGCCTAGTCTTAGGTAGACGTCTCTTAAAATGATGCCGAGCCTTTTAGTTTGTGGCTTATGAATGATAATCATCTTATTTCCCGTAAATACTTCCTCCGTTCACTTTTACTTGTCCAGTATTCTAAAAATAAATTTTTATTTTTACTTGTCAGTTTTAACATATCAAGAGAAGACAATTTCTTTTTTCCTGTTATACTCACAGCATTAATTACGCATTTCAAATCATTTTCTCAAATCCATTAAAAATATGCATCAATTAATTTGGGTATCATGGTAAATTATTCATTTCATTTATTATTTCTTAAGGGACGTGAAAAGTCTAAAGTGGACAAGTAAAAGTGAACGGAGGAAGTAAATATCAAGAATACATGGTACACAACAACAACAACAACAACAACAACAACCTAGTATCTCACTAGTGGGGTCTGGGGAGAGTAATGTGTATGCAGACCTTACCCCTACTCCGAAAGAATAGAGAGGTTGTTTCTGAAAGACCCTCGGTTCAAGAAAAGAATACAGGGTACACATATATGCATAATCAAATGATTTAATTATCAGTTGCCTTATATCAAGATCAGTTGTCTTATCAAGGGCATATAGAGCAAAAATAATGCTCCCCCAAGTATCAGGTAATTCCCCTAATGACCAGTCTTTTGAACATTTTTGTCAGTTGTATTACTTCATGTATAATAGGAAAAACAATATGTGCTAATTATGAAGTTTATGTATATATGGGAAAGAAATTAATTTATTCCTCCAAATTTAGAAAATTTTGTAAAGTTTGTTGAGTTGAATTACAAAATTAAAGGACTTACTACATCTAGGTATCAATCGGGCATGATTTTGTAAACCAACCTATGAATTCTTAGCATTTGGTAAGCAATTAATCTTTTCACTGAATATGTATTTATTATTCAGGAATTAATCAGATTTCATCAGACTCTCTTCCATGAAAGATTCTCTATAAATTAGTAGCTCTCTCATCACAATCAAGTCATTAAATTAAAAAAAAAAAAAAAACACGATAGTTATTAGTAAAATGGCTAACACCATCAACTTTCTTTGCGTCTTTCTCTTCCTTGGTCTTCTGTGTAAAGGTACGTATCTTTCTTCTCCTTAATGGATTCAGACTTAACGATATAAAAAAATAGTTCGAATTAAAAGCTCGAGGGAAGGCTTGAAGCAACGATAACGTTGTATTTGTGTGACCTATAGGTTATAGGCTCGATCCGTAAAATAAGTTACTGATGCTTGAAGGCTGCCTACATCACTTTTTTTGGGGCACAACCCTTCGTCAGACTCTACGTGATCTAGCTGCCCTTTAGTTGAAAGTAAAAGCTATGATATAGTTTCGTCTTACGATCCCTTAACCCAAAAGAAAAAGAAAACAAAAAGTTGTGTTTTGTCCTATTTAATGGATTGAACTTTACATAAATGACCTTTTATCCATGTTTTACTTTTCTTTTTTTGTACCTTTTACTAAATCACCAGAAGGTGAATGATTTATTAATAACGAAAAGACAGAGAGACAAACAAAACCGAGGGGCTAAACAAAAACCTCCGAAAAATATAATTCGAGAGAAATAAGAATTAAATGCCCTCCATTCTCTGTACTTGTTAAAGATATTAATTAATTAAACACCAGTTTAGGAAGACACGATGTCTAAATACATCTTTCTGGTTTCTCACCCAATGTTTGCTATCAGCTGAATTCTCCCTGCATAAGGTCCATTAAAAGGAAAATAATTCCTACAATGATTTTTTGTCGTTCCTAGATCAAGATTTAATTTCCTACCCCAGAGAGAATGCCAAAAGGTACTTCCTTTTGAATCGGTTGTGAGATTCAAAACCCCGACATCGTGATTCGTATCCACGTGCTCTAATTCTCTGAGCTACAAGTCCCACCCCGTCTTCAATGGATCTATTCCAAGGAGTATCGTAAAAAAACGCTCATACCTGAGACCTCGGGTTAAGAATAGAGGAATATTATCTGTTCCAACACAAACTTTGGTGTTTTTTTCTTAAATTTTCATCTAAGATGGTTCTAAATAAATTTCAGGCTACGGAGAGCAGTGTTTTCCAGGGAAACCAGTAGTGACACAGCAACAAACAGGGAAGCAAGTAAAGGGAGTGCCAGTATAGAATGTTACAGTGGCAAATGAATGTCCATGTTCCTACTCAGCTGTAGTATTAACTTGCCATGGAATATCCAAGTCTTGAATACCACTAAATGCATCAGTTGTGACTGTATCTGGGGATTTATGCAACATCAATAATGAATCTACACCTATATTTCCAAATACTCAAGTTAGCTTCACTTATGCCGCCCAGAAAGTGAATTTTGAATTGTCCAGTTATCAAGAAAGTTTCTCTTGATTGGTTAGGGAAAAGGAAAATTCATGAGTTGTGTTAGCATATTTGAGTTGTTATTTTTTATTTATTTTACATTTTGGGCTTATGTTTTAGTTGGGCTTAATTATCTGTATTGGTCCAATTAGGCTGATTCAATTATTCTTTAGAAAAGGACTTGTAGATTTTGTAAGAGAACATTCGAGAGATGATCAGCCGATTCATTTTTACCAAAATCTATTTTTCTCTCTCTTCTACACAGTATTCATCTCTCTCGATCTAGTTAATTGTATTGACTCTTTTGGATTCTAACATGGTATCAGAGCCATGGAAATCACGTAAGTTCTTCTCGTGTGGTCGACTTTCATGGTGATTCCTTTTACTTCCTTTATTTTGAGATCGATTTACCCCAAGTTTCATTGGTGATTTGCCCTAATTTTTCTATTTCTCTATTTTTCTATCAATTTTGATTTTCTATCTGGTTCTAATCGAAAATTGATCGAATATCTCCTTATTGAGATCTCTAGTTCAATGCGTGATTATTTTGGTACTGTGTAGTTCAAATGAAGGTATTTTTTGTGGATAATTGTGGCTGAATTTTGCTTTCTGCTGAAGTTCGTTTTCTCTAGGGATGCTTTGATTTCAAGCTGGTAATTTTTCTACTACGTGTTCGTGATGGGTGATCAAAACGATCGTGATGAACAAATTGACCAAAATCCGCCTCTGAATACTAATAACCCTAATCCTTCTCTCAATTTTGATGATGAACTGATTTTTCCTCCTTATCACCCTTTTTATTTGCATCCTTTTGATAATCCCGGCATTATGTTAGTTGCTAAGCAGTTCAATGGTAGTTGCTTTGGTGCTTGGAGAAGGGGAATTGTAATTGCACTTTCTGCAAAGAAGATAATAGGATTTATCAATGGTAGCTATACTCGTCCTAATGTCGATTTACCACTCTTCGATCAATGGGAACAGTGTAATAATATGGTCATTAGCTGGATTCTTAACTCTCTCGATTCAGACATTTCTCAAAGTGTCATATACTCGAAAACTGCCAAAGGACTCTAGGATGAATTGAATCAACATTATGGACAGTCCAGTGGTGCTCGAATGTATGAAGTTCAGAAGGATTTGAGCTCAGTTTCTCAAGGTTCTTATGATGTAAGTGGATACTTCAACAAGGTTAAAAGGCTTTGGGATGAGATAGAGTCTTTGAATATAGAATCTTATTGTGTCTGTGAGTGCAATTGTGGGGGTAAGCAAAAGATGATAAAGAGGATCAGAATATGAAACTGATGCAGTTCTTAATGGGCTTAAACGAAGTTTTCAACAATGCTAGAGGCAACATCCTAATGATGTAACCCCTTCCTGATGTGAGCAAAGCATACTCGTTGGTTATACAGGATGAGAAACAGAGGGGAATTCAGAATCTCCCTGTGTTCCAATCTGATTTAGCATCTTTTTCTGTTGGATCTAATCTCCCTGCTCCTTCATTCAATAATCCAAAATCCACTCTCAATACTCAGAACCAGAAACATAACCTCACTACTCAGAATCAGAAATACAACTTCACTACTCTGAATCAGTATCAACGAGGAAACTCTGATGCAAGAAGAGCTCCAGACCTTAGGAAATCTTTCTGCCGGTATTGCAAGAAGAACGGGCATGTAATAGAAACATGCTATAAACTTCATGGTTATCCACAGAACTTCAAATTTGGCAATAAAAATGTCAGAGTTGCTGCAAATGTGTACTCAACCTCTGAGGCCAAAGCTGATAATCCCACTGAGACTCCTGCTTCTTCCACCATAACTGCTGACCAGTACAAATAGCTCATGAGCATTCTTCAACATGTCCAGGTTTTCGATGAGAGTCAGAATCAGTTTCCTATTGCCTCTGCTATTTTTTGCAGGTATACTTGCATGTTTTTGTCATAGAAGTTGTGGTTCATGTTCATGTCTAAAGACTCATTTAAATACTGACACTTGGATAATAGACTCTGGAGCAACTGACCATATGACCTCCAATAAAAATTTACTTACCGATATAACTGAACTTCCAATTCCTATTCTTATCACATTACCTAATGGTTACAAAGTGAAAGTAACTTCTATTGGTACGGTACATATTAATTCCATTGTCACTCTTTCTAAGGTCCTTTATCTCCCTACATTTAAGTACAATCTCATTTTTGTACATAAACTCGTTCTTGACACATCTTTGTTGTTAACTTTCTCCTCTACTACATGTTTCCTACAGGGCCCTTCTCTGAAGAAGCCATTGGGACTTGCTAAGATGGCTGAAGGGCTCTATATACTCAACTCCACCTCTACAGAATCATATACTGCTTCTCCTGATGTTCCTATTCCATTTTCTGTTCATGTAAATACTGTCACCGTGAATAAGTCTCATATTTTGTGGCATCATAGACTAGGACATCTGCCATTTTCCAAATTAAACAAGATTACTTGCATCAATGTTCCACCTTGTGATAGACAACCTTTCATTTGTGATGTATGTCCACTTGCGAGACAACAAAGAATTCCTTTTCCTCATAGTGAGTCTCATTCTTTACATATTTTTTATCTTATTCATGTCGATGTGTGGGGACCATATAGCATAGAAACATACAAGAATTGCAAATATTTTTTAACTTTAGTTGATGACTGTAGTAGAATTACTTGGACTCATCTCTTAAGCAGCAAGGGCAATGCTCTTTCTGTTCTTAAATCATTTTTTACAATGGTTGAAACCCAATTTAACCTACAGATTAAAACCATTCGGACAGATAATGCATTTGAACTTGGTGCCAGCCTTGAAGCTACCCAATTCTTCCAGTCCAAAGGTGTTTTATATCAGATATCTTGCCCTTATATAGCCCAACAAAACGGTATAGTTGAAAGAAAGCACAAATATTTATTAGAAACAGCCCGAGCTCTTTTATACCAGTCCAAACTTCCACTTTATTTTTGGGGTGATTGCATACTTACAGCTACTTATCTAATAAACAGATTCCCCAGTACCTTGTTATCTGGCAAAACTCCATATGAAATCCTCTATGGCACTCAACCTTCCTACAGTCACTTGAGAAGCTTTGGTTATTTATGTTATGTTGTGGTCCCTAAACCTCTTAGAGACAAATTTTCTCCTAGATATACACCTTGTATTTTCCTTGGCTATCCTCCTGGAAAGAAAGCGTACAAGTTACTCCAAATTTCAAACAAGAAAATTTTTATTTCTCGAGATGTTGTTTTTCATGAAAATATATTTTTTTACTCTGAATCTACCTCACCTAAAACATTGTTTCCAGATACTTCTAGTTCTTTAGGCTTTGATTGCCCTACTACTTATCCTTCTCAGCCTACCTCTTCTTCTTCACCTATTTCTTCCTCTCCACAGACTGTTCCAGCTGTCCCTTCTCATCACCACACTCCTCCTTCTTCTATTCATTCTCCTATGTAGTCTGTTTCTACTCCTTCTTCTGTACAGTCCTCTTCTGCCCCTTCTTCCTCTTCTGTTTCTCTAGCCCATACACCTGAAAATGCTCCTAGATATCCTTCCAGACCTCATCATCTTCCTTCTTATCTAAGTGATTATGTGTGTAGTTCTGTTGCCTCTTCACCTTTCACTTTGACTTCTATTGCTTATTTTCCTAAGTTAGTTTGCTTCAGCAGTTTAAGCTCCTCTAATCAAGATTTACTTAAGGCTTTAGATAATGTTCATGAACCTACAACTTTTAAACAGGCAGCACAACATCCTGCTTGGCAGGAAGCAATGTTAAAAGAGTTTGAGGCTCTTGAGGCAAATGACACTTGGGTCATTGTACCCCTTCCACATGGTAAGAAACCTATTGGAAATAAATGGGTGTATAAAATTAAACATAAGGCAGATGGAAGCATAGAAAGGTTTAAGGCAAGTTTAGTTGTACGAGGGGGACACTCAACAAGAGGGGGTTGATTATACGGAAACTTTTTCTCCTGTTGTTAAAATGACTACCATTAAGTCCATCATAGTTGTTGCTATTAAGAAGGGTTGGACTATATTCCAAGTAGATGTAAATAATGCATTTTTGCATGGAAACTTAGATGAAGAAGTGTACATAAAGACTCCTCAAGGGATGGTAGTTTCTGGTACTAATATGGTATGCAAATTGAAAAAATCTTTATATGGTTTAAAGCAAGCCTCTTGACAATGGTATACCAAATTGAGTGACTCTCTCTTTTCCTTGGGTTATTCAATTTCTAAGAATGATTATTCTCTTTTCCTCAAGTCTATTAATGGTTTCATTACTGTTGTAGGTGTATATGTTGACGACATTTTGCTTAGTGGCAATGATGAAAAGGAGATGTCTTCCCTCAAAGAGTTTCTGGATAGCAAGTTTAAAATTAAGGATTTGGGGCACCTTCATTATTTTCTTGGCTTGGAAATATTGTCTGAACCCGAGGGGGCAATTGTATGTCAAAGAAAATTTGATTTGGATCTCTTTTCTGAATTTAACTGTTTAGATTGTATTCCTGTAGCTAGTCCATTGGATGTTTCTGTGAAGGTCAAAGATGTTTCTGGGAAGCCCTTGTCTGATCCAACACTTTACAGACAGTTAGTTGGAAAACTAAATTTCCTCACTCATACTAGACCTGATCTTGCCTTCGTTGTCCAATATCTTAGTCAATTCATGCACGCTCATACGTCCGTTCATCTTACTGCTGCTTATCATGCTTTGAGGTATGTCAAGGGTACTTTGGGTCAGGGGCTTTTTATTTCCAAAACTTCTGATTTTTCTCCCCAAGCATACTGTGACTCCGATTGGGCCACTTGTCCCACCTCTCGACGATCTGTTAGTGGTTATTTGGTCTTGCTTGGAGGCTCACTTCTCACTTGGATGTCGAAAAAATAGCATATTGTTGCTCTTTCTTCTGCTGAAGCAGAATACAGGTCCATGCATCGAGTTGTTGCCGAATTGGCTTGGCTAACCAGGCTTCTTAGTGAGTTATCTGTGACTTCCATTGTTCCGGTTCCCCTCCATTATGATAGTCAGTCTGCAATCTATATAGCTCGGAATCCTGTCTTCCATGAGCGCACCAAGCACATCGAGCTTGACTGTCATTTTGTGCGTGAAAAGCTCCATGAAGGCCTTATATCCTTGTCTTTTGTACCTAGCGGTTTGCAGCTTGCTGACATGCTGACCAAGCCTCTCTCTGGTGTTCACCATCGTTCCATTTTGAGCAAGTTGGGTGTGGCAAACAACCCTCCAACTTGAGGGGGGATGTTAGCATATTTGAGTTGTCATTTTTTATGTATTTTACATTTTGAGCTTATGTTGTAGTTGGGCTTAATTATCTGTATTGGGCCAATTGGGTTGATTCAATTATTCTTTAGAAAAGGACATGTATATTTTGTAAGAGAACATTCTATATATGATCAGCCGATTCATTTTTACCAAAATCTGTTTTTCTCTCTCTTCTACACAGTATTCATCTCTCTCGATCTAGTTAATTGTATTGAATCTTTTGGATTCTAACAAGTTGTACTCTGATTTACTCTTATTTGGATTGCACCCCACTAAAAATAAATCATGAAGTACTTTTTTTATTCTTAGCTTGTTTATATATGGTTGTGACGTATTGTCACGACCCGAATTTTCCAACCTCGGGGGTCGTGATGGCGTCTACTCGTGGAAGCTAGGCAAGTCACGAAATATAGAAATTCTAACTCTTTCATTTTAATCCTTTTAACAACTTGAATCAACAGGTAATCAACAATTTAAAGATTAATGATAACAAAATAAACGGAAGACTAAAATAGCTAAAAATGATCACAATCAGTACTACAGTGCCAATATACTCCTCTACCCGGAATCTGGTGTCACAATATTCACGAACTGTCTATGAGTACTACATACAAATATCTGAAAAAGGAAATACAGTCTGTCTCGGAAACAAGTGAAAACAGAACATATAAATGGATAGAAGAGAACGCTGGGCCTGTGGACGCCTGCAGGACTACCTCGGGATCTCTGGATGGACTGAATGCTGGGCCCCCAAGTGCTACTGTCCCAATGCTGCTCCGATATCTGCACAGAGTGCAGAGTTTAGCATCAGCACAACCGACTCCATGTGCTGGTAAGTGCCTGGCCTAACCCCGGCGAGATAGTGATGATGCTAGGACCAGACTCCAGATAAACTTGTGCAGTTATATATATATATATACAACGGAAAAATAAACGGAAATAAACAATTTAAATGGGAGGGGTACATGCTACGGGAAAAATATCAAGTCCAGCAGAAACTAAAGAGACATATGAGAGAACAGCTCAAAATCTAAAACAAAACAATAATAACACTGTTGCGGCGCGCAACCCGATCCATTTATATCACTATTGCGGCGTGCAACCCGATCAAATTTAACATTGTTGCGGCATGCAACCCGATCCAACATAACATTGTTGTGGCGTGCAACCCGATCCAATATAATATTGTTGCGGCGTGCAAGCCGATCCTTATATTTAGTATTATTGTGGCGTGCAACCCGATCCTTATATTTAGTATTGTTGCGGCGTGCAACCCGATCCTTATATTTAGTATTGTTGAGGCGTGCAACCCGATTCATATATTTAATATTGTTGCGGCGTGCAACCCGATCCATATATCCAATAATGTTTTAGCAACAATCACACCAAGAGTCCCGACAAGGGATCAACTACAAACTACAAAATCTCGGAGAGGGATTCAACTACAAACTACACTATCCCGGCAAGGGATTCAACAGTAAAAAATAAATACATCCCGGCAAGGGAGAAACAGCTATAACCATTCTCAACCCAACTTCTAATCAT